CCCCATGCCCCGGCCGGGGTAGGCTGGGGAGCCGGCAGCGCCTCTCCAAGGGGCGGCCGTGGCCGTTCAGCGAGCCTAGGGGGTGACGCACGCGGTTTTGCGTATTGAGAGCGACGGAGCAAGCCCTCAGGGGTGAGCCCTTACCTCAGGGTCTGTGCTGCCTCTCAGCACGTAGTTCTAGGCAGCAGGGCTAAAAGCCTTGAGAAAAACTACCAAGATCTAAATGTCAGCTTTCTTCTAAAATATATTCACGTTTTTTAGTCTCGAATATCCTGGTCTCACGTGGAAAGCATTTGCTGTGGGAAGGTTCTCTACCAACTATAGGAGATGCAGGTGTTTTAAAGTGCTTAAACTTTAACCTCATTAAAAAAAAAAAAAAAAAAAAAGAAGAAGAAGAAGAAGAAAAAAGTCTCAGCAACGCTGTACCTGTCACTGACACAGCACAATGTTTTGCACTGCTTCCTTCCTCCTCCACAAAGCTCAACAGGTCTGTAAGTATCAATCCTGTGCGGAAAAATGTTTTGAAATACCTGAGGTGATTCAAGGTGCCACAAAAATGTAATTTGCATCTTTGTTGATAATTTCCTGAAGAGCAAAATGAGGCAGAGATTTCGAGCAGCCTGCCAGGGAGCATGCACCACAGGGTGAGGAATGATGTTGAAGTGCAACGTGGGCTTTGTGACCCTTTCATTTCAATCCTCGCTGCTGGCTGCCGCCCAAATGTGCTCTGAGTTCAAAGCATCTACTCCATGCTCAGTATGAAGGTGGCACCTGGATGGGTAGCTGTAGAGAGGCTGCATCATGGAGCATGAAGGCTCACCTGTGGCCAGCTGTTGTTCAGCTCATAAACCACATGAATGTCCTATGAGCTGGGGTTGCAGATGGGCTTAGAGCCTGGTTACCTGGCAGTGCTACTGAAACCAGTGTCAATAGTGGCATATTTGGAGTAAGAGGAAACTCTAGCCTGCCTCTCTCTCTTTGATTTAATCCCTTTTTTTTTCTTTTCTTTTCTTTTTCCTACTGTCATCGCAAATATCTTCTTTGGATGCAGAATTTAGTACTAAGCACTCTTTATTTTCAGCTAGTAGGAACTGAAGGCAAGGGATTTATCATGGCATTGCTGCAATGATATGGACCATTACCTTAGCAAACTGTGTACTTTTCATTTTGTAAAAGATATTTAAATATATCCTCTTTCTGAGAGAGAAAAGATCTCCTCATTGTCTTGGGTAATTCAAAGCACAGCTGGTATTAGGGCTTCTCTGTAATCTATAGGCTTCCCCCATCATCCTTTCAGAGAAAACACCCCCATCTTCCATTTCGTTTGCATTGTTCTCTTATTAGTAGAATAATATCTGACAAGAAATACAAATGTGCAAATGTATTGGGCTCCACAAGTTTGACAGGAAAAAGGGCTTCCGCCTGTAGAGGAACTGAATTCACTTTCACATGCTAGGAAACTTTCAAGGGCAGAAGAATCCAAAGGGAGGCGATTTTATTTTCTCTAATTTTTCATGAGCAACAGGAAATGAGGCTCTGGGGGGAACTATTCCAGAGTATGAGTTTACCATCTGTGGCCTCTTGAAATTTATTAGGATGATCGATCAGAGAACTACAATATATTTGTGCTGCTCTCTTTAGCATTGTGGTACCAATAAGTTTAACCTGGTGGAGGCCGTATGTTGAGGGGCTGCCATATGGACTCATCTCAGTGGAGGGGCTTTCCTGGGAGAATTGATGTGCTGATAGCTTTGTATGGCAGGTTGAGTGGGCAGTGAGTCTTGTGGATGCCAGTTGCTTATACAGGTATTCTTACTATACAACTCAACAGTCTGATGAGAAAAGGAAAACCAGCTATGCAGCATCAGATTATAGAAGATGTGACATTGCCTGTCTGTTTCCACAGAAAAGTGTCAGTATCTGTAAACTACACACTGAAATAGATCAGAGGCGAAGGGAAGGAATGTGGCATTTTATTTTTTTTTTCCCCCAAAACTTGAGATTTGCAGGGTTAGTGAGCTGAACAATAGCATTCCAAAGGAAAAAATGGAGTAATGATTAGAGGCCAGGATTTAAGAGACAGGAAATGGGATCTATGTCCTGACTGCTGCTGCCTTTGACCAAACCAAGGTAAGTCACTTTTGTCACCTTCATGACAGGAAGACAGTGTTACTTCCTGTGTAACATGAAATTCTGTTTTGGCATTTATTAATATCAGTAGTGAGATTAGAGATTGTGTAAACATAAATAGAATGAAACATTAAAAAAGCGACTCTGTATTACTATCTCTGGGACAGTAAACTTAATACAGGAACAGAACACAGGATGTTGCTTAATATTGTAATTCCTTGCTTTAGGGAATTCCTATAATCCTCTCCTTGTTTTTGTTTTCTAAACCAATAAGACTATCATTTTCTAAGGAGATAAGCAGATTTTTTTCTGACCAGTAAAGCTTCTGAAATGCCATATCCTTCTAGGGAAGAGGATCATTGTCTTTTGAGAGGCCTCTTCCATAGAAGCAACAATGTTACTTTCCTTTGGATAAAGATTTGTGTTGTATTAAAAAACAGCAACAACAACCACCAGATTAATTCATGCTTAGGCTAAGGAGTTAATTGTACAGAATAACTTTGGGAGAGAAACAGGAGAGATGCAAAAAGGGGATAGATAACAATCATTGATATGAAGGTGTATTTGGCAAGAGAGGGCATTTACTTATGAGTCACATATTCAGAATAAAGATATTGCCTGCCAGTAAACACAGCTGGCATCCTACTAAATCCATGCTCCAATTTCCTTACTTTTGGAACCTCCTCATTATGAGGAAATAATAACATGTTTGGTTTAATATCAAAATCCAGATGCTCAGGTTATAGCTCATGGGTGGTCAAAAGGCAACAAAAGTGCTTAGTAAAAATGTTTTATCTGAATATGAGTAAACTTTTTGTTCTTTTCTTCACCTTTTGTTTTCCCTGTTTGACACTGTCTGTAGCTGGTATCAAGGCCCAGGCCTCCAAAATCAGATCTCCCGGTACAATAAAAGATGGAGCATGAGACAACATCATGTGAGGAGGGTTGGTGCTGTGATCAGTATGCTTATCAGGAACTTCTGAGAAACACCAGTTAGCTGCTGTGTCACAGGTATTTCTATCTGAGCTTGACAAAATCACTCAAAGGAGTGGGATGGACTGGATGACCACCTAGATCTTCTTGCAGCTCCATTTGCTGATGATTTTATATCTACCCCTCCTAGTGGGACCCAGGGTGAGAGCCCCTGCTTGTGTACAAGATCTGGAGGGGAATGGCCTGTATAACCTTTTCCCTTTTCCTTTTTTGATGGAGAGAGCTTGATTTTTTTTTTTAATGTATAAAGAAAAAGGGGGAGGAGGTAAGGAGAGAACTGCGTGTATTTCATATATGAAGCATTTCTCTTGTACAGCTGTGATGGAAGAAAAAAAATCATGGAACTATAAGACAAAAATCAAGAGATGGAAAGCTGAATGGCAGCAATTCAGTAAGTGAGTTTAAGACATGGCTTCACATTTTTTTGTACAGTTATATATCTCCATTGACAGATAACCAGTTTACAAAAATGTCATCTTTGTAATAGTCCAGCAAGTGAAGTGAGAGCCTAAAATAAGTATAGCTGAGAAACAATATATTCTGAGGAAAAATTTTGCTGTTCGTAATATATCCAAGGTAAAAAATAAGGCTAAAAAAGCATGGAAATAACTTATCAAATTCCATTCCAGACAGTTTTTATTTGTCTTAGGAAGCAAAAAAAGGAAAGGAATAAATTTAACTTCCTTACAATTCTAGGCTGGAAAACTTTAACCTTTTGCACTGTAGAGAAAGAAACACACACTTCTTGCTCACTGTGGCTGCCTGTGTGGTGCAGCCTGAGCTAGAGATCCCTGCCGTAGGACAGATTTAGCGCTCGACCCCACAGTGTGGCCTGGGTTCCTGCAGCATCCAGGGCAGAACAATGGCTGCTTCTTTCTGGCTTTCTGCTCCGAGGCAGGGCTGTGCTGCGGAACCGCACCCTGCTGCGGCCAGCGGGGAGATCCCTGCTGCGCCAGAGGGGGAAGCTGCCCTCCTGCCCTATTCCCGAGATAGGTGCTTCTCTTCAAGAGACAGAGTGAGAGAAAGCACGAGAGATTTTTTGCCTTAGTTACTTTTATATTGCTTTTTGTCTGTTTGTTTGTTTGTTTTAATGGTGTTTCTTTGGCAACAAACAAGCACAAATAATAGGGAAGAATTCTCCACTGAGCATGCATGCGAACTTGGGTTTACTAGTACTGGCTGCCTGCTTGTAGTCATATTCTCCAAACAGGACTTTCCTGAAATGTCTCCAACTTCCTAAGGTCACATTTATACTAGCTTACATATCATGGATATGTCAGCCTTTCCATGGCAGGGTTAGAGTAGGAGGTCTTGTTACTGAGAAACTTGCTTAAAAATGCTATCAGATCAGAAGGTTGTTTTTTCCCCTGGATGGTTGCTTTAGACGGTGTGCTAAATAGTGCAAGAGAACATTTCTGGTGTTTCTGCTATTAAACTGATTGTGCTGTTCTTGGCATGGTTTCCACTCACACCAACTGTCACACTCCCAAGCAGCTCAAGGGGATGAGTCAGGAGTTACCATGGGCTGGAAAGCAACCCTGGCAAGTGACTGCGCATGTGCCAGTCCTCTCTAGGAGGCTGAGACCCCTGAGCAGCCATTCCCTGATGGTTGGTCTCAGCACCAGAAAACAGTGCAGGACATACTTGATTTACTACCACAAACACAATTTCTATGTTCTTGTCCTCACACCTTTTGCTTCAGTTGAAATGAGTTTTTCAGAAGACGTTGTCTCTCAGTTTATTCTACCTCACAGGCATCTGTTGCCAGAGACTACAACAGTCTCCCTTGTTTTTTGTGCCAAAGGACAGAAAGAAACTGCAAACCATGAGCAAGGATAAGAGGTTAAAATCCAGGATCTCGGATGCAGAACTCTCCTCGCCCTTTTAAGCATGTTGGCAGAGCCCCCTGCTGGAGATGCAGAGAGCTCAGGGCAGAGGCATTTTCCTACACAGGGTTACCCATCTGCAGGCTGGCACTGTCACTCAGCAGGTAGGCAGCCTCTCACTCAGGCTAGAGGTACTACCAGTGGACCTATGGTTTTTTTTTTTTTTTCGTGTTCCTAGGCAACACTGCTGTGCTGACAAAACCTTGTAGACCATTTTAAAACTTTGAACATCTGTTAAAGGGGTCTCTTTCAATTTTAAATATGATTTTAAACTAACCTAGCTAAAGTAAAAGACAATAGCAAGTTTTTGGCGCCTACCTGAAAAAGCATCCCTAGAACCAAGCACATCCTGGCTGACCTCAAGGTGATGACCACCTTAGTGAATCCTCCTTCTTTTCTGCTTAGTTTATACTATCCATTCAAAGTATGGGGTGGTAAACACTTGCAAAATGGAAGGAAAAAAATATGACAGCAAAAAGACACTGGCTGCTTAATCTGCCAGCTGGTTTGAACGGGTTTTTTTTAGATGCTGAAAGCCTCTTGAACAGGAAATGTAGATTCCTAAGGACTTATTAGTCATAGAAATAATGATGAACTTAGAGAAGCTGTAAGAGCCTTCTCAACAAGGAAGATTTGAACTATGAAACTTTGCCAGCAAGCAGTCTTGGGTAAAACAAGCAGACATCATGCTCTCTGACTAGCTTAGATGTACTGACAAAACACTTGATGTAGATCCAGCTTCACTGAAAGAAAAATATTTTGCTGCTTAAGATATTCAAAGACCTGAGTGACTAATGAATGCAGACAAAAATATATATTGTGAGAAAGCTGAGAAAGCCTCTGAGTTAATGTAGCTGCACTAACACAATCTCAGAAGTACAGAGAAACCTCAAGACACTAGAGACCTGTTCCTAAGTGGTGAATGCTTTAGGTACTCTGATAGCTGCTTCAGCCCTTTGGAACTGAGCCCAGGAGGCTCTGAACAGACACAGTGGGCAATCTCTACTGAGAGCACTGCAGGGCAGGAATCAGGAAGGCAAACACAAGCATCTTGCAGACAAATGGCTTAAAGAAGAGGTTGTGGAGTAAATCTTGTCCGCGTTTTTCAGCTATGACAACTACACTGCAGAAAAAATATACTATTTTGCTGTAGTACTTTCTAGGTACTAGTCATTATTTTTAAAGTTGACAGCAAGTAATACAAGAAAAATATCCCAGGTATAAAATAATATATTGATTGTCATTATTTATGTTAGGATACAGCCAAAGTTCTCATATTTCACAATGGTCCATATCCACTAAAGTATATATAATTTGTGTATTTTGAGACTTGTATATAAAAGATAATCACTTGAAGTTACTAACTTTGTGTTTTCTGTTGCCACTTACTAGGTAAGATGAGGAAAATCTGTGTGAAACTTTTAAGATCCTGTTGCACATCCAGTACGAGGGATCCTTGGGCCAGAAGTGCTTCTGCTGAGCGCCAAAAGAAATCATTAATGTAACAGTGGATCTCCAACTAGGTTTCAACCACTGGGGGACAAAAATAGAAAATGCCTGGCAATTCTTAAAAAAAAAGGCAAGAAACTTCCTCTATTTTTTTTCTTTTTTTTTTCCTTTCATAAAATATCTGACATATACTGTCAAAATATCTGACAAAATACTGTCTTACAAAAACAAAGTGAAATTTACTTCTTT